TATTTTTCATAAGCCTTATGTTACTCTTCAGACCAAAGCTTTCACAATGCTTTTTACTTCTTATAAATGAAAAGAACTATTTAGATCTCCCTTAAATGATATTTATTAGAAATGCATTTTAAAGAATGGAAAAATTAGCCATTTAAGCTATCAACAAACAAAGTGTAACTTAATAGAAGAATACAGTGTAGGGACCCAGAGAACCCAAGAGCAGGCAGGCCACTTGCAGTATGGGGCCATAGAAAATCTGTGCAAAGCCAGAAAGTGACTCCCTTCCCTTTTTCTCTCTGGGAGTACCACAGCTTGCAGTCACTACTCTTCTCAAAGAGACTGCTTCATTTCTCTTTCTCTCTACAGAGTAGATTCCCCTTCCCCTTATCTTGGCCTTACATATCTGGGGTTTCAAGCCCAGGTATGGGTTACAGTTTCAGTGTTCAACAGAAGGAAACTAATACTTCTCTCCCCATTCCAAATTCCCAGAACGGGGAATCTGATTGAATTCTCTGAGGATAAAAGTCTATCCAATCAGCTATGACCAAAAAGTGGGAAGTGTCCTCATATGAACAGTACTCTGGAGACTCAACCTGTAGATGAGAATTAGAGGAAAAGTGATGAAGAGGGTGCTTCTCAATGGATTATGGCCAGAAACCCAAACAAGTATCTACCACAATCCATTTTTAGATATGCATACATTTAAATACAACTTAAAAGGAGTGAGAAAAAAAGATGGCACAATATGCAGCTAAGATTTGTAAGTCAGTTCTGTAGAACAAAAGAAGTAGCATACACATTTATAATTTACTGCTTAGGGATTTTAAACTAAAGCTAGCTTCACCTATTCTATTTAAAACAAATGCATTCTGCTCTTGTTGAGCCATGAGGGAAAACAATTAAGGAATATTTTGATTCATATTCCAGGAAACTAGAGAAACTCAGGGTAAGTAATCCCAGAGAGCCCAATCTCGTAAATTGAGAATATTTCTCTAGATGACACAAGGTCCTCAGTGCAACCATGTCAGTCTCTGCTTTCAATCTAATATGTTGTGAGTCATGCTGAATCCTCTTCCCTTGAGGTTAAAAGTATTTCCTAAACTTTCTTCTTCTTCTTTTTTTCTTTCTTATCTTCTCCTCTCCTCCCTTCTCTACCTTTATCCCCTTTACATATCAGTCAACTCAGAAAATAACATTAGCATTTTCAACTGTCTCAGAATCTTGGTAGATTTTTGAAGATGCAGCTTCAAGGAATAAAAACTCCTTGGAAATGCCCTTTTAGTTTCTGTAGGATGAAAAAACTTTATCTTGGCAGGTATTTTCAATATGCAATGAGAAGCCCTGCTGAAAAGCATGTCATCACCAGAAAAGAATGCTCTGTCCTTTTTTATCTAGAGTTTTTCTTCTTCCTATTCAAGTAAGTAAAGATGGTAGGAAGTAGGGGTCATCTACAACGACAAATACCTGATGTTTAGTTAAGTCAGTAGTTTCAACTGATATGGAGTCATACTAGATACCAGAAAGCAAGAAAGAACCAATACAATAAAACCAGGGAATTTGGATAATTCATCCATTACATAATCAGGGCTTAAATCCTACACCAAGGCTCTATCTTGCTCATCCTCACCTATTTACCTATGGGGTCATCCATACCACCAAACTGTGCATTCATTGTCAATAATTGCATAATCTCTGGTATTCCACTATATAAAGACTTCCCTGCGTGCCCAAGTCTTCCTCTCTGAAAGAGAAAGACATATATTCTATCACCTATTGTCTTGCTCTTGGGTGCAATTTTGCTTTAGGATAAACTCTTAGGCTCAGACCAAATTATTGGTTAAATGTATGTTTATTACTAAGTATGCTTAACTACCACTGTTACCACAAAGAGGGGCACACACCCAACTGCAATTACAAATTAATTCATGGAAAAGAAAAGGAGGCAGTCATAATTATGTATTCTTTTTAAAGTGCAATAAATTTTCAACAGGGCAATAAAATAAGATCTGACATATCATAACCTACTATTCTGCCATACTCTTAAATCTTAACTGCTCACTATGAATGTTGCTAATATTTTACGAAGGTACACAGTAAAATCATTAATAAGTTATCACCTCTTGAAAGAAAACGCTTCATGGTGTACACACCTAAAATATTTAACACTTAATTGCTTAAAAATAAAATAGATCTCATGAGCCTAAAGTAATTAAAGGAATGTTCATGCTTTTCAATTACACTATCACATATAATCTGATTAGCCACCTTTTGAGGCAGGTTGGGATTATTTTCCCCAATTTACAGATAGGGAAATTGAGATTTAGAAGGTTTAGATAACTTGCCATGGGCCACTCAGCTCATCAGTGACAAAACAGGGAGCACTATCCAGGTCTCAAGGGTTCCACTGCTGTATTCACTATATGTTTCCTCCAGGATTGTCAGTGTTCAGATCTCAGTAAGAGTAACAATTAATTTCTCTACAATCACATCAAAAAACCCTTATATAATACAGGTGTCAGGGAGCAAAGATAATTCCAGCACTTTATGCTACCCTTTAAAGTGAAAAAAATATATATTCTACTTTAATTACTTGTTTGTTCATTCAAACAAGAAATCATTAAACACCTACATATGTACCAGCCATTGTGCTAGGCTCTATTATACCCAGCTGTGTTAGTTATCTTTGCTGCATGACAAATTATCCCAAAATTTAAACATAAAACAGCAAACATGTATTCTCTTACAGTTCCTGTGGGCCAGGAATTTGGGAGTAGCTTAATGGGATGGTTCTGGCTCAGGATCTCTCCTAAAGTCAATAAAGATGTTCATGAAGGAGGTAGTCATCTGAAGGCTTGACTAGGACTGGAGCATCTGCTTCCAAGTTCACTCACATGGCTGTCAAGAATCCTTGGTTCCTTACCGGCTGTTGGTGGCAAGCCTTAATTACTCATAATGTGGGCCTCTCTATAAAGTTGTCTGAGAGCCCTTACGACTTGAAAACCATCTTTTCCCAGCAAGCAGTCCCAGAGAGAGAAGAAGAAAAAACTAGCATAGGTTTTCTTTTTTCTTTTTTGGCATATGTTTTATAATCTCCTCTATGAAGTCACACAGGTCATTTATAAATCATATTCATGAGAACAAGTCACTAAACACAATCCAAACTCAAGGCAAGAGGAATTAAGCCCCATAGCCACTGACTAAAGGAAAAAGCACCAAAGAACTTGTGGACATATTTTAAAACCATTATATCAGTGAATATAATTTAATTTACAGAATTTATTCTAATTATATAAAATGATTTGTTAATCTCATTGTAATATTTGGGTATTTAAAGGAAAACTAAGTGTATTAGAGAGTGTTTTTGTGTGTGTGTGTGGTTGTTGCTTATTTGTTTCCATTTTGTGTCCCCATTTTTATTTCACCCTATTAAAAAATTCTATATACAATGCTGAATAAATGCTGACTTGTCCTATCCTGTTGTATCATTAGGAATTGCATTCACTGCTTATACCAGAAAACCAAATAACAAAACTTTAAATAGGAGGGATTTATTTTCCCTTACATAACAACAAACCCAGAAATGAGTGGTCTAAAGCTAATAAGCTAGCCCTCTAAAGCAATCACAAAGCCTGGCACCTCTGGCTTCCTACACTGTTAATACACTGTTAATACTTCCTACACTGTTATTATGGCTGAAATATGGCTGCTCCGCCTCCAGCATTGTGTCACTGTTCCAGGTGAGGAAAAAAAAAATGGATATAGGCCCAATGGCTAAAAGGACATTTCTTCCATAAAGCTTTGAGCCTCTCCTAGCAATATCCATTTTCATTTTATTGATCGGTCATACAGCCAGTCATGGCTTACAGAAATCTGGATAAGTAAATATTTTTAATTAGACACACTGTCTAATTCTGAAAAAAATCCTGAAAAAAAATCAGAGTTCTGCTGATAAGGAAGAAAGGATTTTGGCTTAAACAACTAGCAGTGTTGGCCACCCTGCTCCAAGGAGCCTCAAAGCTGCTCCAACAAGCTTTGACACACATTACTGAAACACCACACCAGACAGACAAAAGTACTGCTCAAGATTTATCTGTTTCAAATGGGAGAATCTAGTCATTCTGCGTCCCATATATAAAGGATATTTTTCAAAGTAACCACAACTTTCTTTTTTCTAGTTGATAAATTGAAGAATTGGCTGACATTAATGTCACTTCTAAGAATCTGTCCAAGTAGATGATTACACAGTTGTGCAAAGGTATGTGCATAGGGTAGTTCATCATAGAGTTGTTTATTATATTAAAAATTTGGGAAAAAAACAAACAGCAAAAGAATACTGGTTAGATAAATGATGGTACATTCATTTATCTTTTAAAAATGATGTTAATCATGATATATTGTTCAGTGAGAGAAGAACTATATACATAATAAAATCCAGTTTATGAAATATTGTATTTATGCCTTTATGTGTTTTTTTTTAATTCTTTATATCTGGAAGAATGTAACACACACTTTAAAAAATGATTTCCTGTGGATTATGGGATTTGGGTATTTTTTTAAATTTGTTTGAATAACTTTGTACTGTTTTCACAAATATAAAAGTGATTTTCAGATACCCAAAATGATGGGAGGGACTTACTTGATCTGGTTTTGTTCATATCAATAGTGTTTCCTGCCAGTAATTATCTGAGACCCCGCTATGGCTGAACTTATATTTGGAAGGGTTTCTTATCTTTGCTCAATGGAAAAAGCAAAGTTATTCCTTATTCATTAAAAATTTCAATAAAATTAAAATGAGGTAAGGAATCTTGCATTTTTGTTTGTTTTGGTTTCTATTTGGAACACGGTGACCTCGGGAAGGGTCTCCTTTTACTGTTTTGCAGTGGTTGTGGAAAGGAAGGGGGTGAGGCTGGGCAATTAACTATACACAAATTGGAGAAGAAAGAAGAGGATACAAGTAAGGGTGTAAGGGAGAGAAGTCTGGAGGCATCCGCCAGGAAAAGAGCACTAACCTGAACATCAGGATACTTGCACTTCTAGCTTGGGCCCATCAGTTTATCTTTCTGACCTGTTTTCTCATCTGAAAAAATAAAAGGTTTAAGTAAGAATCACTAGATGTGCTTAAATTCTTTTGGAAGATTGTTTTGGATCTGTTAACGACATATCATGGCAAACTATTAGAGCTGAAGCTAAACAAAGGAAAAAGAACGACAATAACGGACATACATCGTTCATTATCTCACCCAGGCATGTTAAGTAACTTGCCAAGGTTGCACAGGAAATAGGTGGAGGAACCAAGATGCCAGCCCAGAGCCCATGCTCCTAAAGGTTATGCTGAAGGGCACTACAGAACTGATAGAGACGGGCTTTTTAAAAAATAGCAGGATAGTTTTCTCACCTTCAAGCTAAGGCCGTGTAGATGATGTTAAAGCCAAGAACTTATCCCCACCTCCTGGCTCTGTGGGGTTGCCTCAATGGCTCACAGGCTCCTCCCTCTATCCAAAAACACTTTCTGATTCAAAGTCCTTTAGCCAACTAAAAAGAAGATGAGTTTTAGAAAGCCCTAAAGAAGCTCTTCCTGTTATTGCCTGACAGAAGCGAAGTAATGACAGACAAAACCACGTGTGATACAGAAGGCTTTGTGGTACCACTGTTTTCAACCCTTTCAGGTTCACGTATCTGGTTACCCAGCACCCGTTTGTATACCTCATCTTGCTTATTTCCTTTCATTAAGGCCAGAGAGATACTGACTACAGAGAGTACGGAATGGGTAGGAGAGTGGGGGACAGGAAAAAAAGAACAGGAAGCGGGCTAGAGGCCGAAAGACTTCTGCAGGCTTAGAGCCTATCCCTCACACAGAGGTCCTCAGGTACCTCTAGCCTCAGTCTCTGTAGTTTCACTGCTTTAGCTTCTCTCAAGGTCCGGAAGCTAATGCAAAACCCAACAGCAGAATCAGGAAGGATAAGGCCGACAACGAGAAGTCGCAAGTGGGCTGCGACTACTGCCGATAGAAGACCCGACTTCCCAGACCCCTTCGCAGAAGGGCGGGGCGTGAGCTTGGTGGCCAATCCCCACGTCCGCACGTCGCCATAGCCCCGCCCCACCCTGCTCCCTCTCGCTCCGCCCTTCCCTGGGGCTGGTGTGGCGGCGACGACGTCAGCGCTAGGAGACCCCTGGGTGGCGGCTGCGCCGTCGGCGGGCCGCGGCCTGGACGCGCTGCGGGGAGGAGCGGAGCGAGCGAGCAAACTGGCGGGCGGGGGGTGGGGGGAGGGAGCGAGAGCTGGGACCGCCTCAGCCGCCGCCGCCGCCGCCGCCTGGGAATGATCTGGGCGGCAGCGGGCGGCCCCAGCTAGCGGCCGCGAGCCACTTCTGCGGGTATCGGGAGGAGCTAAGGTTGCCGGTCTCGAGTCGTCCCCTCTCCGCCCCCCAGGAGGGGCGAGAGGGAGCCACGGCTGATGTCAGGTACGGCCGGCGGAGGCGCCCTCAGGCTGCGGGTCCAGGGTCTGCGCTCCCCTCGTCCTCACTGCTCGGAGTGTGTGTTGGGGGAGTCTAGAGGGTGGAACCAAACCCGGGCGCCGCCAAACAGGTGTCTCGGGGTCGCTGCCGGGGCTGGGGACTTGCGGGCTCCTGAGGGAGGTGTGGGGGCACTCCTGCTCCCGGCGCCTCTGTGCACTGCCATTGGGGCCGTCTGGCCATCGGGCCGCTATTTGTTGACGAGTAGCCGCCTCTTCGTGGTGGGTTATTCCTTTCTGCCCGCGGGTGCCCCTCTCCTCTTAGCTCTCTGCCCGCCGTCGGGCGGCGGCAGTGAGGCGCGGGCTGTGCAGCGTAGTGGCCCGACCGCCCGGAGGTGCTGCTCGTCCGGCCTCCCCGCCCCTCCCCCGCCGTGTGACCTGTGGGTCAGGCAAGATCCAGGGTTCAGGTGGGCACGTTCGGCGAGAAACGCCGGGCTGCGGGGGAACCGGAGTGCCGGGCGAGTGGGCGTCTTTCACACGTGCCAGGGGACTTCCATGGGGCTTTCTTGGATCATCAGGTTTGTCTGTGGCTGATTTATTTTTTTTTAAATTTCACTGCCTCTGGCAGAATAAGCGAGCCAGGTGTGTTTGACTCACTTGCTGCGTGGAGAAGGAAAAGAGTTTTTTCTCCTCTTCCAACCCCCTGCCCCCCCTCCGCGAGTGTGATGTGAGTAGAAGGTACTGACAAGTTGGCCATACAGCTTTGAATTTGGAGAAATTGTATACTCTTAAAAGAAGAACGCAGTTCGGGAATGGGGATTTATTCTTCCCTCGCTCTTAACTCTCTTACTTTTTAAAATAATAAATAGGGAAGCACCACATGCTCTGGAAAAGTTGATTGGCTTTATAATCTAGTTCCCTAAATTTGTTATAGATATTGTAGTATATCTTTTAACGCTTTTCAGATTGGAAACGATTATGCTAACCATGAATTGACTTCATTATGAATTAAAAAGTTGTAAAGGCAGAACTTTAACGCATTAAAGTGAATAACTAGGCCAATGTGATTGGGACAGAAATATGTTCATTTAGTAAAAGTTGGGCACAGAATATATATATATAGCTCGGCCTGGGTGCCAGGAAAAAGCGTTGTGCATGATTTCAACTTGCTTGATTTTGGTGTAGGTTTAGACAGTGGGAACCTGAATTTTTAGGAGATACTTAGACAGCTTTCCATACCCTTAGCAGATAAGTGTCAAGTGAACCTTATGCACATGATGCTTTGTGTTCTACGTATTTTATATAGTAAACTATACTATTATTTTCCACTGGCCTTAGTATATATTGATGTGCACTTTAAGTGAATATAAAGTTTCAACTTACCAAACAGTTAACTCTTGTCACCATATGTTAAGTAAAACAGTGATTTAGTAAGGAAAGTATGACTCATTTAAAATTCTTCATAGGAAAAGAGTATGGTTTTTCGGTACTCGTGGAGAACTATTAAATATCTCTCTTAAATTTGCCTGTGATTTGTGTTTTTCTCTATCTTTTTATTTAGGCTTCAGCATTTTAAAAATATTTTGTGGTTACTACCCATTGAAGGATAGATATGGTTTTTTCCTTAAATATGCTTTTTTTTGGCTTAGGTTATACTAGTCTGTATTTCTGAGGAAATGTAATATCCAGAAATTCTTAGAAGTTTGCCACAAATTTATTTAGTAGTACATACAATGGATTAATTTTCACCCAGTCATAGAAATAAAAACTGTGTCATTTAGACATATGCCGTTTACTATTTGTATATTGATTTGTGCCAAGATAAAAATTGCATCTTACAGCATATAAACCTTGAAAACCATGGTAATTTAAAATAGGGTCTCTGATGAAATTATTGACTGGAATTCTTGTGACATTGCAGCTGTAAGCAAACCAAATGGAAAGGGGAGAACTTGATGAAATTAATTTCAGATTCATTTAAAATTTTAAGCTTCCCAATACAACCATGTTACTTTTAGAAGATTTGTTGAAATTTGAATAAAGACACTACTGTACAAACTGTAACAAGATGGAAAGAAAAGTACAAAAAATTTTTTACCCAAATTTTTTAGGATTAAGGTAATTATTTTAAAAGAAGGAAAAAAGAGAAAGGAGAATTGTTCTCCAAAAGAGAAGATAGCATTTTATCTTAAATCTAAATGTATGTCTAATGTGTACTTAAATTTTCACTTTGCAACTAATTTAAATAGCCAAGGGGAAAATATATACAAAAATGTATATAATGTGTGAAAATGAGAAGTATCCCTTGAAGAAAAAAAATAAATTGATATTTGTGAAATAGGGAAACATGCAAGAAGATAGGAGAAACAAACAAAAAAAAACCCACAAAAAAACTGAATAAACTATCTAAAACCTATAGTACGAGCTGCCTTGCACATTGAAGGCAGAGAGAGGCAAATTAAATTGGGAGAGCTTCTGAAATGGGAAACCTGATTAGTTTACAACTAAAGCTGTATGTTAAAACATTTAAACTGGTGGAAATTAGATAATAGGCAGAATTTGAAATTATCTATGGCTTGGTGTAGTCATTTGCATTCTTGGTCCTTCTATTGGTTTCCTAGGGCTGCCGTAACAAAGTGTAACAAACTGGGTAATTTAAAACAACATAAGTTTATCATCTCAGTTCTGGAGGCTGGAATTCTGAAATCAAGGTGTTGGCAGGGCTATGGTCTCTTCTAGGGGAGAATCTTCATGTCTCTTAGCTTCTTGTGTCACTGGCAGTCCTTGATATTCCTTGACTTGGAGCTTTATCATTCCAGTCTGGTTCTTTCTGTGTCTCTTCATATGGCATTCTCCCTTTTTTATAAGGATGCCAGTCATATTGGATTAGGGTCCACCCTGATGACTTCATCTTAACTTGATTACATCTGCAAAGGCCCTATTTTAAAATAAGATCCCATTTCTAGGTACTGGGGTTAGGACTTCAACCTCAGTCTTTTGGCGAGGGATACAACTTAACCCATCACAACCATATAAAATTTTTAGCACATATGGCAGGCCAAATCAGGGTGTGTGGTAGGAACAAAGAAGGGGTCATCTAAATTTATTTGTCCTTTACTAACCTCAGTGCTTACTCAGAACCAGGTTGCAGAGAGAAAGCAAACAGGCAGACAAAAATCTCTGTCCTAGAGGAGCTTATGTTCTAAAGCGTTGGTTCTCAAAATGTTGTCCCTGAGTATGTAGCATCAGCATCATCTGGGAACTTGTTAGCTATCCAAGCCTCTTGGTTCAGAAACTATTTTAACAAAACTTTTAAGTGATTCTGATGGAGACTCAGGTTTGAGAACCAATGAACAAGATGGAGAAGAGAGACAATAAACAAGATGAAGAAGTAAAATAGGTAATATATTAGATGTTAATAGATAGTAAGAATAGGGTGGGTAAGAATAGGGTGACCAGAGAAGACCCCCTGAGAAATAAAGGCCTGAAGAAGTTGGGGAATAAGCCATGTGAGCATGTAGGTGAGTGTGTTCCCAGCAGAGAACAGCAGATGCACAGACCCTCATGTTTGAGGAACAGCAAGGAATCCAGAGAACACAGCAAGGGAAACAGTAATAGGTTCAGTTTATGAAATTTTTATTTGTTCTTTTTGACCTATAAAAACCAAATACTAGGAGAAGAGATCAGAAAAAGAAGAGTGGGGATAGGATTGCAGACCATTGAGGTTCATCTTAAGGTTTTTGCTTTGTTTCTGAGGTTGGGAAGACATTGGAAGATTTTGAGCATATGAGTGATACAATCTGTTTTAAAAAATCACTGGTGAAATGGGTAAAAATGGATTGAAGAAAGAAGGATGCAAAGGGAAATGTTGATTAGGAGTCAGTTAAAGTAGTTGAGGGAGGGAAAGGAGAAGGGAGAAAAGGAGGTGACTTGGACTAGGATGGTAGCAGTGGAGAGGTTAGAAGAGAGGAATGAGATCAAAAGCATATGAGATGATAGTGAAAAATAAGGTTACCCCATTGCCTACCTCAAAGAGGTTTACAATTAATCTTTATATATTCTTCCTGAGATATTTTATGTATATATGATAAACTGGGTTTTAACAGTTTAGTAGAGCACTTCTTTTTTTTTTTTTGAATGCATGGTAAATCCTTTTCTTTTAAGATTTTATTTGTTTATTTGACAGGACAGAGAGATCACAAGTAGGCAGAGAGAGAGGGGAAGCAGGCTCCCTGCTGAGCAGAGAGCCCGATGTGGGACTCGATCCCAGGACCCTGAGATCACATCTCGAGCCAAAGGCATAGGCTTAACCCATTGAGCCACCCAGGCACCCAGTAGAGTACTTCTTAACTGGAGCTGATTTTGACCCACAGGGGACATTTGGCAGTGTCTAGAGACATTTTTGTTTGTCATAGTCGGGGGGGAATACTGTTCGCATCTAGTGCGTGGAGGCCACAAATGCTACTAAGCATCTTATGATGAACAGGATAGCCAGTCACAAGAGAGAATCATCCAGCTT